TCTCTCCTCTTCCTCCTCCTTCACCCCTCTCCTTTCCCCCCTCTACCTACCTCCTCCCTCCCTTCGTCGCTCGTCTGGGGCGAGGTCCCACTGGCAAAGAGGATCGGGTTTAACACCTGAATCTGGACGTGTTTGCAGAAGTCGGCGATTGTCCTGCTTTTCTGCATCTCTGCACAAAACGCATCCACATTCAGGCGTTTCTCTTTGCCAGTTGGACCTTGGTGATTAGCTCTCTCTCTCTCTCTCTCTCTCTCTCTCTCTCTCTCTCTCTCTCTCTCTCTCTCTCTCTCTCTCTCCTCCCCACCTCTCCCCTCTCCTCCCTTTGTTCTTCTCCTCTTCTCCTCGCCCACTAGCCTCCCTCTCTTTCCTCTCTCTCATCTTCTACCCCTCCTCTCCTCCCCTCTCCTCTTCTCCCCCTCTTTCTCCTGTCCTCGTCTTTCTCCTCTTTCTCTTTCTCCTCTCCTCCTCTTTCGCCTCTCCTCCTCTTTCTCCTCTCCTCCTCTTAGAAGTTAATTGTGGCTTTTAAATAGTAATATGAGGTGATAATGGTCGATTGATTAGTTTCATATCATGACTAAATCCTAATTTCAAGATAAGTATGGAGCTCTCCTCTCCTCCTCTTTCTCCTCTCCTCCTCTTCCATTTCATTCCCCCGCTCGCTCTGAGTCGAGTCCTCCCTCTGCTGTTGCCCTCTCCTCTTCTTTCTTACGTGTCATCTGGATTTCCTTTTTCTTTTTTCTTTTTTTTGGGATGATATTTCTTTCCCCTTTGTGTTCAGTCTTTTTTTCTTTTCTTTCAATTGAAACCTTTTTACCATATTATTAATTATATTCTCTCGTCTGTTCCTCCTTCCCCCCACCTTTCCCCCCTCCTCCCTCCCCCCCTCTCCCCCCTCCTCTTTCCCCCCCTCTCCCCCCTTCTCCTTCCCCCTCTCTCTCTCTCTCTCTCTCTCTCTCTCTCTCTCTCTCTCTCCCTCGCCCCCCTCCCGTCCCCAACCCCCCCCTCTCCCTAGCTCTAAAAGAAAAGAAACGTAATCCCTTAGGGCTGTGTTCCCCAGGTGGCAATGTTGAGTAGCGCAGAGAGGCCCAGTATCCCTTGATTCCTGCAACTGGGGGCTTGCTTCAGGGGCGAGGTCCCTGTTAACCGGATTGGTCTTTTCCCTGATTTCCCAACACTGGCGGAGGTACTAGTGGTTTAAAAAAAAAGGAAAAAAAAAGAAAAAAGAAAAAAAAGATATCAGCATCGTGCGGTTGTATAAGTGGATCTCCCGAAGATCAACGGTCAGGTGCCAAGACTCCGCTGAAGGGGGATTTGGGCAAAGAAGGGGGGGTTATCCACAAATTCAACCCCCCCTCGCCACCCCTCTCCCCCCCCCCTCCCACACCGAAAAAAAGGAAAAAGACAATCCCCCCTCACTACCAAACTCCATTGAATCAACCTCAGCCACAGCGCGCCATTGGGCCTCGGTCCACGACTCACCACATGCACAAACGACAAAACAAAAAATATCACGGTGCATCTTGCCGTGTTCCAGCATAAGATTCATTTCATTTTCATTCATTTTGCATTGCTCATTTGGTGAGTAGTCGTGGAGCGAGGCCCTTTGTCCGGCAGGCTGCTTTCGAAGATGAAATGAACGGTCGAAGCGAAGAGTCCGAGGAAGGACAAATTTGGGTGGGTGTGCACACAATTAGGGCAAAGAAGAGGGGCTTGTTTACAATTAGCAGTTCTGCCAAAAATAAAGAAAGAGACACAAAAAAAAACCCGGGAAGAAAGCAATCCCTCTTTACTACCGAACTCCACAAAATCACCCTCAGCCACAGCGCCATTGTCAGGCAGGCTGTGAACACTCTTCCCCTCCTCCTCCTCCTCCTCCCCCTCCTTCGTCCGCAAGCGGCATTCCCACACACACACAGGTGAAGGTACATCTTCTTTTTTTTTTTTTTTTTTTTTTTTTTTTTTTGTGAAGGTACATCTTCGACATTCCCTTTGGTTGACAAATGGTAATGCCAAAAAAAAATAAAAAATAAAAAAAATGGTAATGAGTAATTCGAACCCCGCTGATGGAATTAGAGAGAGTGAGGGCATACTCACTCACTAGGACTTTTTTTTTTGTATTTATGGACGTAATTACGGTCAGATGCATCCTGGTACGGCCGTAAATGCGGTCAGATACAGATGTATAGCTATATAGTGTGACCATTGCCGTGACTGAGAGTCCAATTACGCGGAATTACTTAGAGGGGGGCGATCAGTTCGATGATTGATGATAATACACGTAGTACCGCCCCCACTACCATCGACCTTTGAACAAATTGGAACCCCTCCCCCCCCCCCCCCCTCCCCCTCCTCTCCCTCTCTTCCCTTCCCCCGTTCTCCCACCCCCACCCCCACCACCCAAAAGGAAAAGAACATAGGGAAAAAAAAGGAAATCGAGATGGGATCAGACAGATTAATACAAA